GGCTCAGCTGCCCTCAGAGAGCTTCCTGGCACATCACCCATTGTGGGACCTGCTCCTCATGCCATCCCATGGGATTTTGGGGAGCTTTCTTCTCCAGCCCACCCACTGTCACCAGGAGATTTGGCTGTCCCAGACGCTCGGGAGATACCACCAGTCGCTGGGGATCCTTTCATGGATGCTGAGGAACCTCCAGAAGCCACCACCATGCCCTTGATGGTGGAGGAGCTTCTGGAAGCCCCACCACCCTTTGCTGATGTGCCTGTTGCCACAGTGCCACCACAAGACGCTGACCCACTCGTCTCCGGTGTCAGGGACTTTGGTGGTGACCCCATGCAGTCAGTAGTGGCCTTGGGGGGTGCAGATGACTTTGCCATCACAGTTGTGCCACCTATCCTGGAGCACCTACCCACCGAAGTGCTGATGTTGGAGGATGACCCCATTGCCACAGCACCTGCAGGAGAGGCAGCAGCTTGGGTTGGTGCCTCCTTTGCCTTCCTACCCCTCCCAGAGGGACTCACCACCCCAGAGGTGCTGGGGACACCCTCCACTGCAGCTCCCACCGCACAAACCCTCCCTGGGGCTGTGCTGGGGGACATCTTCCATTCCCCCAGCTGCGAGGGTGCCTGTTCCCTGTCCCCTGGGGAGGGAGAGGTGCCAACGGGCACGGAGGGACCTCTCGCCGCCGCTCTCGTCGCAGAAGGGCCTCCTGCTCTACCAGATGGATTCGTTCCAGATAACGAGGTATTTGTTGCTCAGGCGCTCGCAGCCAGGGCTTCAGGCGCAGAAATGGCTTTATTTTCCACTGGAGGGGTGGGTGGGAGATGTGAGCCCACTTGGTAACGCACGATCTGCATCCTTCAGGCTTCGAAACAGCCTTCTCCCTCCTGAGATTGCCTTGAATTTGGCAGGCAAAAAGTTTTTTTGGGGGGAGGTGGGAATTGTGTGATTTTATAAGTAGGGGAGGTAATAGGCTCTTGGTGCTCGATGACCTAAACTGTTGTCTGATTTTTGGCTGATTAAAGTACATTATGGTCACTCAGATAGAAATCACAGACTTGAGAACAAGCTTCTTCACCGGCTCCGGGCGGGTAGTTCTCATCTTTGAAGCAGAAAATGTATCAGAAAAGAGAAACCTGTAAAAGAAATTAAGTGCAAATAATTCCTGTCCTGTGCAGTCATCGCTGTCTGTAGCTTTTCCAGTGAGCAGTAAGGTGCTGTGGCTCGGAAGGTTCATGGGAAGGGGCTCAAATTGTCTCTGGCATTTGGGGAATTGTGTTTACCATGCTGTGCTCGTGGCTTTTGCCTGGAGAGACCTCGGTGCTGGAGTTCCCACAGCCAAGTGCTGATTTCCTGCCATCTGGATTAGGAGCAATATCACTAAGGAGACATCAGAAGTTAGTCAGCGTTGAAAATCCCGATTCGGTAGCAATTACTCATCCTCTGGGCTGTGCCACCCATTTGAGAAACACACGTGGAGGGGCTTGGAGAGAGGTGGTTTCACATGGGGGGTCCATGTGAGCACAGCCTGGGACACCTGGAGGTGACCATGGCCAGGAAAAAACCATCAGGTTCTTGCTGGTGTTGTCTGGTGCCTGAAATTCAATGTGTCCTTGGTGGAGGGACCCTTAGTTTAGGTTTAGCACCTCTGATTATTAACCCCACAGGTGGTCAGATGTTGTTGGAGATGCTGATTCTTCCCAGCAGAAGGCTCTGTGTTCAGCAGTGTTGGAGTTAAGGGAGATGAGGGAATCAGAAAGTGAGGGGATGCTTTGGGAAGTATTTCTGGGAGGGAGGAGGAGGAGGAGGAGGTGTGTTGGAGCAGATGTCCTTCTGCTCTCCAAAATGTTTGTCCAGCTCTTCTCTCTTCTCCAGGGCAGGACACCTCACTTTGCACTTTCTCCTACCTGCCTAGCAAAGGGTAGATGTTAAATATTTGTTTCAGAGCTGAGTCACGGTGAGGTTAATGAACTAAATCGCTGGAATCTTTTATGAGCTAAGGAAAACAAGGGTGTTGGACATGCTTACCCTCAGGCTGGTGCTGTGATTGGATTTGTCAGGATCCTCATGGAGCATCAGGCTCTCAGACTGGCTGATACCTGTGGTGCAGGTATCCCTGGTTGGATATCCAAGTTTTCCACAGGGTTCCCTCCCTGCCTGGCTCCTTCAGAGCTTCAGAGTTTGTTTTGCTGTGTGCAGAGAGCTCGGACCAGCCCAGCATGCCAGGCTTATCAGCCTGATCCTTTTGTGGGTTTGGCTGTTCTAACCAGCAGCTCCATATATAAACAGTAACAGGAGAACAGGCAGAGAATCAGTGATCCCACGTCACCCTTTATTTCTTATAACCATGGCATAATTCTCCATGAGCAAACAGCTCTGGACAGTGTCTTGCCAGCTCACCCTCCACTCATCTCCTGGAGGGACACCTCCCTGCCCTCCAGTTGCTGAGCTTTGGTGGGAAGATTAAGCTTTCCTTTGGAAACGGGGCAAAGAAAATCAAAGCAGTGCTTCTTGCTCAGACTGGGAACTGTGTGTGTGTGTTTGGGGGGGTTGGTGTGTTTTGGGGGGTTTTGCCTGCCTCATGCTCCTTCGGATTGCCCTGTGCTGTCCATGAGCCTCTGCTCTGCTGAGGGAGATGTTGCATCCAAGTGGGGATTTTTCAATGCCATCAATGTCCATGTATTCTCAGGCACGAGGAGGAGGCACGCTCGAGAAAGCAGGTGGCTGTGTGCCATCCCCTTTGCTTTCCAAAGGGAAAATGTTGTGCCAAGGCCAACGGCTCCGATCCTGCCCAGTGCTGGGTGACCTGTGCTCTGCATGGGCTCGTGGGCCAGGGGAGTAGAGGAAGCCAGGATTTTGGGGCTCCCTGATTTTGGGGCTCGTGCTGTTCTCTCTGAGGACACAGCAGACTCATCCCTTGGGGCTGGGTCAGAGAGGGACTGTGCACGTGTTCCAGCAGATCCTCAGCTCTGATAAAGAGCACTTATCTCCTCTGCAGAAACAGGATTCTCCCTGCTGCCTCTCTTTGACAATGGGGAGCTTCATTCGCTCTCCTCCCCCTTCCCTATCAAATCTTTTTTGGTTTAAAAAGCTTTTCCCCACAGGATTCCCAGGCAGGACCGTGCCAAATCCGTGGTAAACGACTCGCACATTAATTGCCTATTGCCTTTGTCTTTGGAAATCCAGCGAGCTCCTCGCTGCCTGTAATTTCGTGGTTAACAAAACTCATATGATGTCAGGTCTCCAGTTCTCAATAGCTTCTCTGTGAGAATTGCTTGGGGTTTTTCCCCAGGAGCGTTATTTCCCAATCTGATGGCTGACTGGAGCCAGTGCTCTCATTTCTTCCTCAGTTTGCTCTCTCTACCTCACTCCATTGCTTGGAAAAATGGGATTTACCCTTTAAAAGCAGAGGTGGATGTGGGTAAGTCCTGAGCTGTGCTCCACACCAGCGGATTCCTATGACATCTGTGTTACTGGGTCAAGGCAAGGGAGGAGTTCAGACAAACTTGCACAACTCCAATAAAATCAGTGCAAGTAGCTACTGCATCTTTCCTAGGGAAAAGAAAAACTGTTGTGGAAAGCTTGTCTATGGAGGGACTGGAAGAGCAGCTCACAGATTGTTATAAATACTTTTTCTCTCCCACCCTTTCCATCCCCAGCTCTTCCAGAAGGAACAAGTGGATCCTCTCCAGGTTAAACTACAGCAAGTCAATGGAGTTGGTCAAGGACTCATCCAAAGTGCCGGGAAAAACTGTGATGTCCAAGGGCTGGAGCATGACATGGAAGAAATCAACACCCGTTGGAACACCCTCAACAAGAAGGTAGGAGCCTGGGGAGGGGCTGTACCTGGTTTCTCTCAGCTCCATTGGGGTCTGATAGAAGATGGGGGTCATCAGCTGAGAGCTGAGGCTCCAGCATTGACGTGTCCCTAGCTTGACCATGCAATGGGTTATGTTTGGGGTGCAGGTGGCCCAACGAGTCGCTCAGCTGCAAGAGGCTCTGCTGCATTGTGGGAAGTTCCAGGATGCCCTGGAGCCATTGCTGAGCTGGCTGACAGACACTGAGGAGCTCATCTCCAACCAGAAACCTCCCTCTGCTGAGTACAAGGTGGTGAAAGCCCAGATCCAGGAGCAGAAGGTGAGTGAGCACAGGGTGATGTGTGGCTTGGTGAAAAGGAGACCTTGGGACAGCCAGGCAATATTTGCTGGGATATCCACAAACCTGTCCCAGCTCTTTCATGGTGGCTCCTGGTTCCCCACATCCCAATGTGATGAACAGACAGTTTGTTTGCCCACACTCCCTATCTCCATCATCTAAATCACCACATCACTGGATTGTCCCACAGCCTCTTGAAGTTCACTGCTGGTTTTGCTGGTCGGCCGTGTTTTTCCAGCTCTGAGTTTTGTTTGTGCTGGTAATTCTGCTGCGTCAGGAGCAAGCTGGTGGTGTAGGGACTGGTTTGGGTGTTTGGACAAAAGGGAATGTAGCAAGGGTAAGAGCAGGCCCTGGGGTGTGCCAGTGTTTGCAAAGATAACAGCCTGTGCCGGCTCGGAGCGCACGGGGAGAAGGTCACGTGTGGGCAGGGTGAAATATGTTATAAATTAATTCTTACCCTGGCCTGGTCTGAGGTTGGGGAGGGAATTGATGTCAAGTGGATGTTAAAAAGTCGGTAAGCTGGAGAGGGAATGATGGGGAAGGCTTGGGAAAGTTCTGCAGGACAGAAGTGGTTTGAATCTTGAATAGAATAAAGGAGGGAAGGGGAAATGAAAGGGGAAGGGGAAAGGGAAAGGAAAGGGAAAAGGATAAAGGAAAGGGAAAAGCAGAAAGGGGAAAGGGAAAGGAAAGGGGGAACAAAAAGGAAAGGAAAGGGGGAAGTGGAAGGGAAAAGGCGAAAGGGAAAAGGAAAGGGGGAAAGGAAAGGGGGAGAGGAAAACCAAATGGGGAAGGGGAAAGGAAAAGGAAAGGGGGAAAGGGGAAAGGAAAGGGGGAAAGGGGAAAGGGAAAGGAAAGGAGGAAAGGAAAGGGGAAAGGAAAAGGAAAGGAAAGGGGAAAGGAAGAAGGAAAGGGAATGGCATGGAGTAGAACAGAATGAGAGTTGTGTCCAGCTGCCTGAGCACATTGGGGCTGACCAAATCAAAGCTAAATATTGCTGTCATATAACACAGCTGTGGCATTTTGAACTGGTTTTGGTGGCAGAGTTTGCCCCTGGGCTGGGTCTGGGCTCAGCCCTGTGCTGTGGCTGTTCTCAGCCACAATTAGAGATTGAACCTCTCCAAGAGCCAAAATCAGTTCTCCTGCCCCAATCTGGTAACTTTGCTCCTCCTTTGTCCCTCTGTGCTGCTAAAGCTGCTCCAGCGACTCCTGGACGATCGCAAAGCCACCGTGGAGATGATCCAGGCAGAGGGCGACAGGATCGCACAGTCGGCCGAGCCCGCGGATCGCGAGAAGATCGTTGGGCAGCTGGAGAGCCTGGCACGGCGCTGGGCAGGGCTGCTGGGCAGGGCAGCTGCCAGGTGAGAGGGGCTGGGCACGGCTCATCCCGTGCCCTGGAGCTCGGGGTTAGGACCTGCGGGAAGCTGGCAGAGATCTCAGTGCAGAGACATCCTGGAAACAGCTGGAAAACATGAGAAATCAAAGCTGTTTGGGAGCTGAAGCTGATAGCAGAGGTTTACAATGGCAGGGAAGAGCTCAGATTAAATAATTTCCCTGCAGGGGAGGGATGTTATTTTTATGCCTTTGAGCGTTCACGTTTAGCTTCGGCGGCAACATCCTGTTGACACCTTTCTGCTGCCTGGATCTTGTTTATGGGTTGGTTGTTGCTACCTCAGCTGATATTTGAGGTTATGAAGTCATTTTGAGGGTCAGATTGGACCCTCTCGAGGGATTTAATCACTGTTAACTGGCTGGAGTGTCCATCCAGGACTTGTACCACTACTGGGCTGTCTTTGATCAGAAACTCACAGCAGCCCTAAAGCACCAAGAGTTCAGCTACAAGCTGAGCTTGTTGGAGAATCTCCAAGGTAGTGATGGGATGGAAGAAAAAGGAGTTGAAACTAGAGGATCTTTAAGGTCTCTTCCAACCCAAACCATTCTACAATTCCATGCAAAGCTACACCATGGAGAGCCTTTCTGCCACCTTCCCAAAGGGATAAATTGGATCCTAAAGGTACAGCTGCAGGAAAGAGCTCAATGTGCTGTTTCTCCACATTGATTTTTGTGTCTGCCTTTGCAGCCTGCCTGACATGGTGTTTCACCTTGCTTTGAACAGGGCTGCTTTGCCTCCCTCTTCCTCATACTTGAAGCTGTTTCCCATTCCTGGCTCCAACAAGGAGCTGCTCCTTAGTGTTTTCATAGAATCATAGAATCCCAGACTGGTTTAGGTTGGAAGGGACCTTAAAATCCATCTGATTCCAGCCCCTGCCGTGGGCAGGGATACCTTCCAATAGACCAGGTTGCTCCAAACTCCATCCAACCAAACCTTGAACACTTATTTCCTTCTTCTTTTATTATTCCATCTTATAGGCAGAAGCAGCTGGAGGACATCCTGGTCCTGGCAAAGCAGTTCCATGAAACCACAGAGCCTGTGTCAGACTGGCTATCAGTGACAGAGAAGAAATTGGCCAACTCTGAGCCCATTGGTACCCAGACTGCCAAAATCCAGCAGCAGATCAGTCGGCACAAGGTAGGACCTGTGCATGAACAGGATGGAGGTGGTTGATATTGGGTCTAGCTCTGGTGGTTGTTTCCACCACAATGAGGAGGGTTTTGGCACAAGTATTGAAAGAGTTATCCAGGCTGTATGGAGAAGGCTGCAAGCCCTGACCCACCAGTGTGGGTCCTCCCAGCAGCTGTATCCACTCTTGGATAGAAAAACCATTCCCATCCTTACATTCCTTTGATTTTAATGCACTTCACCCATTCACGGGTGGGTTTTGTCTCCTCCATTCCTTCAGTTGCATTCATTATTTGTTTACTTTTCCCTTACGTTTGTTTCTTTGATTTTCTCCATTTATTTTTGGTTTTTTTCACTCATCTTCCTTTCTGTTGTCCATTTTATCCTCCTGCCATTCAGGCTCTAGAGGAAGAGATAGAGAGTCACGCTGCCGACGTGTCTCGGGCGGTCGGTGTCGGGCAGTCCCTCTCCTCCCTGAGCTGTGCCACCGAGCAGAGGCTCCTGGCAGAGAAATTAGACTCTCTGCAGACTCGTTATGGTGAGGTCCACGACCGCTGCTGCCGCAAGGCAGCACTGCTGGACCAGGCACTGGCTAACGCCAGGATTTTTGGGGAGGAGGAGGTGGAAGTGCTCAACTGGCTGGCTGAGGTGGAGGACAAGCTGGGCTCGGTATCCGTAAAGGATTACAAACAGGACGTCCTACAGAAGCAACATGCAGACCAGCTGGTATTTTCCGTTTTTTCTTCCATCTTTATGTTGGTTTTATTTTGTTGCATTTCTCTGGTTTTGGTTTTGTTTCTGGTCTGGCTTTAATTTTGTAAAGCTTGTTCCCACTTCTTAGTTTCTCTTCGAGGCTTGGAGAAGCGTTAAAGGGATTTCATGTGTTAGAAACAATATTGGTGGGCTCAAAAATGGGTTTCTCAAGAAAGGTGGGGGGGGGAACTTCAAATGGGTTGTTTGCTTTGGGAATGTTTGAGCCAGCTTGGCCACCCTGTGCCTTTGGAAAGCTGGATGATGGTCCCAAGATTGAGAGCTGGTAGGTTTTCAGAGCCAGGCTGGCCACCAAGGAAGTCGTCTGCTCCCACTCCCTGGGGCCAGGCAGGCTCTTTCCAAGTGTGAGGTTCTGTCTAATACAAGGGCAAGTCCTCTGGTAACACAGATCCAATGGGTTGGGATGGGTTTGCTCCAAGATTTGAGCCTTTAGGTCCCAGAAGTCCCAATAATTCCTGTAACAGGATGAGTGGACAGTTATCAGATGGGTTGTCCACCCTTCCCATGCTCAGTAGGGAAGTTCATGCTCTCTGTAGTATCTCTGGCTGGCAGGATGCAGGGACCTGCCTGCAGCAGGATAACCCAAATTTGTCTCTTTCTCCAGGCTTTGAATGAGGAAATTGTGAACAGGAAAAAGAATGTGGACCAAGCCATTAGAAATGGACAAGCTCTTCTGAAGCAAACCACAGGTAACACGGAGATCTTGGCGTGCTCTGGGCGATGTGGAGGGTCTGGGAAGCTCCTCATCCCCTGCATGCTCTTCCCTGGGAAGTCCATGTTATGCAGTGTTTGGGGGAGGCTGTTCTCCCTCAGGTCTTCAACTTCTTTTGGAAATTCCCAAAAGGAGCTGGTTTGCATCCAGACCTGGATGCTGAGCCACAAAACACTTCAGCTTAGTGCTTTGCTTGGTCCCAAATCCCAACCTTGGAGCCTTGAGAGCGGGTGATTCCCACCACAGCCCTGCAACATGAGGGAGGGTTTTCTCATTGCATCCAGCTGCTAAATCACATGGAAAGAGGTTAAAAATACCCCTAACCCTTTCCTAATACTGCTTTCCCATACTGAGCAGTTGTTGCTGTTGCCACGTGGGTGTGAGTTTATGTTTATGAGTGGGAAGAAAGGTCGGGGCGATGCATTTCCTTCAGATGTGGTCTGCTCAGAGCAGATGTACAGACCTCTGTCCTTGTGGGAGCTGTGGAGCAGGAAGAGTGATTACAAAGGATTTGGCATGCAGTTTCATGTCCTCTTGGAAACAGCAGGAAAGAG